ACAAAAACACACGCACACACACATACACACACATATATATATATACTGTTTGTGTATCCTGTGTACGTAAACATACGTGTACAAAATTATGGCACAAGGCTGAGCTTCTTGCCGGCCCTCAGCGACCTACATAACACAATACGTATGTATATAGCAAGCCTATATACCCACCTGTGGCACACATAACACAATACGTATGTACATAACAAGCCTATATACCCACCTGTGGCACACATAACACAATACGTATGTATATAGCAAGCCTATGTACTCACCTGTGGCACACGCGTCTCTGAGATCCTCGCTGGCTCTAAACCTGGCACTCAACCGATCGCCATACAGATCCATCGCAGCGGCTATCTTAGCCTTCAGTTGGCTTAGCCTCTCGATGTCCGCAGACATCCCTTGCTTCTTCTCATTCACGGAATCCCACCGGTCGTTCACCTCAGCGTCCTTCCGCTCCAATTCCTCATATTTTTGTTTGAGAGTGTTTAACTCATCCAATTAGCCTGAAGGCTCAGAAATTGGAAGAGTTAAACACTCTCAAACAAAATAACGAGGAATTGGACCGGAAGGACGCTGGGCTCCGCGCCGGCTCGAGTTCAGGCTCGTACGCTGACTCTTGCAGCTGTGCGTGTTCCTGGAGAGAAAAATTTGTACACCTTCTCTTGGTGTTCGTCACTTTTCTGTAGGCGGGAAGTGAGCTTGATATCTTCCATGTCCGGTACAGCGAGAGATGTGACTGTTGTCTTGTGCATAAGTGCGTCCGACTGTACGAGATGGAATCTATACTGACTTCGGTGACGCGCAAGCCCACAAGCGCACACGGTGTATATGGAGTGACCCCCTCTATCTCTGAATTTCCTGAATGATTTTAGTTGCAATCCTACTATTTTGGTTGTAGTTCGATCAATTTGGTTGTAATTCGATCAATTTGGTTATAATCCTATTAATTGAGGTTCTATTCCCATTAATTTAGTTGTAGTCCTAACAATTGAAATTTATTCCTGATAATTTGGTGTTTACTTGATCAGTATATATCCGTGGATACCAGTCAATTCCAGTACAGCAGCATGTTGGTATTAACCAGTCGATTCCAGTTCAACATTATGCTGGTATTCACAGACAGAACAAACCTTAATATCAGGTCAGTTTCCAAATCAGTTCGAAATCTATTTCTTCTTTCTCCAGTTGAGTTCTTTCAACTGGCTCAAAATACCAGGCAAATTATCGGTCAGTTTCAGCGTATGTTTACGCGTCCACTTAAGCTTCAACAACGGCTTCCGCTCATTAAGCGGCTGTCGTAACCGTAGCATCCGAGTTTCGTAGCGTGTCGCATTGAGCTCCTTTCGGATCCTCATGTTGTTATCAAACACTACGTGTGGATAAAAGCGGTCGTATGTAAATCAAAGGTACCAGATTCACATACTGAATGCATGGACTGTACAATGGGTAGAATGGGAAATGGTGAGCGTAGGATCACGCGGGTGATCCAGTAAGCTGAACAATTGGAATACTTAATTACTGAAATGCTGAAGTATTGAAATACTGTATTATTAAAATTGTCCAACGTGCTCAGTTGGAAATGGTGAATGAGGGATGATGTTGAGATAAGCTGAATGGATCACAACTGGATTAAACATCGAATTTCAATGCCTTGTAGTCTCACACATTTTTAGTATGCAAGGTCGGGTCTGTTCCGGGCACCGTACAAGCTGTATACAATCTCTCAATACATAAACACGCACGCACCCACGCATACCCACACACACATATATATATATATATATTATATATAACAAAAGCACACGCACACACACATATATATATATATATATATATATATATATATATATATATATATTAGTTGTTTACGTTAGTACTTCGTTAACGTTAAGTTAACGTTAAATTAACGGTTA